CAACTGATATAGCTGATTTGTACCATACAAAATATTTCATTTCAATTTATAAGGTTGATTTCTTTATTATAGTCTAAAAAGTCGAGAAAAATTGATATATGGATATTCACTATTTGGTTTTCACATCCTTTGTGTGGGGTGTCTTCCCTGAGGTTCATTAGAGCAAAACAGGCACCAAGAAAAAAAATGTGCAGTACCCTTTATAAGGGGTAATTATAGTGAAAAAGGCTAGGTATATAACCCAGAAGGGCTCTAGATGTGTTTCACCTTTACCCTGATGCGTAAATAACAGAGCAGGTTGTACATACTGACGGCTACATCTCTCCACACAGATATGTGTGTGCACTCGAAGGAAGTGATGTGTAGTCACACCCTTCAGCTTCCAGTGTTATCATTGAGGGATTAGCCAAACTGTCTGGTCAAGGACCGAGTCTGGTGCACCTGTTAAGTGATGTTCACTTTGAGAAAATGTTTTTCTCCTCCAAATTGGAGTGTATAGCTTTAAAGGGCCTCAATCTGGATCTGGTGCTTGACTGGGCTTAAGTGGTTCTTGTTTCTTGTATTTAGGGCCAAATTTGAGAGTCAATGCAACCTTGTGTTCCTTTGATGGTTAGAACAGGCTCATGATACTGATCAAGTTACAAGCAGCTGCCCAAAACAAATGGATTACTGCGCTTATCTAGTAGAATCGATAAGTCAATTGGAGATGTTCTGTAGAATTCTTTTTTTATATTCATTACATTGAAGAATGGATCACATTGCAATGTACACACACATATATTATATACAATTTAGACAACCTTCTAAAATCAGGCAGCATGACATGTACTTTTTATTTGAAATAGAAATAAAGAACTAGAAAAAAAAAAGATGGAATAATTTTTTTATAAAACATGGTCAACGTTTATTTTATTAATTGCCTAAATTACACCAATATAAATGTAAGTAAATATGTTTAAAGATTGGTTTCCTTCCATCAGCCTTCATTATAAAAAAACACATTTCTATTTTATAGGAAATCATAAGAATATAAGAATTTAGCTTAGTACTGTAAAAAAACATACAAGCCGAGTGAAAGATTACTAGAAACCCCTATGTTCTGTTAGTGGTAAATCATGGCTTATTCTGAAATATGTTTTCTTTGTGGAATTTCTGCTGGAAGTCATGTCTAGCATACTAAACACACAAGCAGTGGTGATATGAACAACATGTGTGCAGTTTCATCATCTGTTTTTAGTAAGTGCATGTCCATTTAAATAATAATCATATTCTTAACAGAGATGAATATGACATGCATTAAATAAATTGAATCTAACTACTGGTTGGTAAAACCTGTCTATCCTGTTCTGGATGAGCTAGAGCTACCGTTAGTATTTGCCACTGGTGTAGTTGCATTTTGATGCTAGTTTTGCAGGGCTGTCTTGTATTTTACGGTTATGTATCAGGATAGGAAACTGGAAGTATGTGATAATGCTGCATTGGGCTTTACTTATGTAGATTTAACAGGAAGCATTTACATAGTTACATAGTTACACAGCTGAAAAGAGACTTGTGTCCATCAAGTTCAGCCTTCCTCACATGTTTTTGCTGTTGATCCAAAAGAAGGCAAAAAACCTAGTCTGAAGCGCTTCCAATTTTCCAACAAATTAGGAAAAATTCCTTCTTGACCCCAAAATAGCAGTCAGATGTCTCCTTGCAGCTATTACCCCACTAATTAGAAATTATATCCCTGTATGTTATGTTTTTCCAAGTATTTATCAAATTGCACTTTAAACATCTATATGGACTCTGATAAAACCACCTCTTTAGGCAGAGAATTCCATACCCTTATTACTCTTACTGTAAAAAACCCTTTCTTTGCCTTAGATGAAATCTCCTTTTTTCCCAGCCTAAATGCATGACGTTGTGTCCTATGTATAGCCCTGTTTATGCATAGATTTCCAGATAATGGTTTGTATTGGCCCCAAATACAGGGACTGCAGAATTATTAGGCAAGTTGTATTTTTGAGGATTAATTTTATTATTGAACAACCATGTTCTCAATGAACCCAAAAAACTCATTAATATCAAAGCTGAATATTTTTGGAAGTAGTTTTTAGTTTGTTTTTAGTTTTAACTATGTTAGGGGGATATCTGTGTGTGCAGGTGACTATTACTGTGCATAATTATTAGGCAACTTAACAAAAAACAAATATATACCCATTTCAATTATTTATTATTACCAGTGAAACCAATATAACATCTCAACATTCACAAATATACATTTCTGACATTCAAAAACAAAACAAAAACAAATCAGTGACCAATATAGCCACCTTTCTTTGCAAGGACACTCAAAAGCCTGCCATCCATGGATTCTGTCAGTGTTTTGATCTGTTCACCATCAACATTGCGTGCAGCAGCAACCACAGCCTCCCAGACACTGTTCAGAGAGGTGTACTGTTTTCCCTCCTTGTAAATCTCACATTTGATGATGGACCACAGGTTCTCAATGGGGTTCAGATCAGGTGAACAAGGAGGCCATGTCATTAGATTTTCTTCTTTTATACCCTTTCTTGCCAGCCACGCTGTGGAGTACTTGGACGCGTGTGATGGAGCATTGTCCTGCATGAAAATCATGTTTTTCTTGAAGGATGCAGACTTCTTCCTGTACCACTGCTTGAAGAAGGTGTCTTCCAGGAACTGGCAGTAGGACTGGGAGTTGAGCTTGACTCCATCCTCAACCCGAAAAGGCCCCACAAGCTCATCTTTGATGATACCAGCCCAAACCAGTACTCCACCTCCACCTTGCTGGCGTCTGAGTGGGACTGGAGCTCTCTGCCCTTTACCAATCCAGCCACGGGCCCATCCATCTGGCCCATCAAGACTCACTCTCATTTCATCAGTCCATAAAACCTTAGAAAAATCAGTCTTGAGATATTTCTTGGCCCAGTCTTGGCGTTTCAGCTTGTGTGTCTTGTTCAGTGGTGGTCGTCTTTCAGCCTTTCTTACCTTAGCCATGTCTCTGAGTATTGCACACCTTGTGCTTTTGGGCACTCCAGTGATGTTGCAGCTCTGAAATATGGCCAAACTGGTGGCAAGTGGCATCGTGGCAGCTGCACGCTTGACTTTTCTCAGTTCATGGGCAGTTATTTTGCGCCTTGGTTTTTCCACACACTTCTTGCGACCCTGTTGACTATTTTGAATGAAACGCTTGATTGTTCGATGATCACGCTTCAGAAGCTTTGCAATTTTAAGAGTGCTGCATCCCTCTGCAAGATATCTCACTATTTTTGACTTTTCTGTGCCTGTCAAGTCCTTCTTTTGACCCATTTTGCCAAAGGAAAGGAAGTTGCCTAATAATTATGCACGCCTGATATAGGATATAGGGTGTTGATGTCATTAGACCACACCCCTTCTCATTACAGAGATGCACATCACCTAATATGCTTAATTGGTAGTAGGCTTTCGAGCCTATACAGCTTGGAGTAAGACAACATGCATAAAGAGGATGATGTGGTCAAAATACTCATTTGCCTAATAATTCTGCACTCCCTGTATATTTGTATTATGTTATCATATCCCCTCTGAGGCTCAGTTTTTCCAAACTAAAGAGATTTAAATTTTTTAACCTTTCTTCGTAACTAAAATGCTCCATTCCTTTTATTAATTTTGTAGCTAGTCTCTGCACTTTCTCTAGTGCCATGATATCCTTCTTTAGAACGTTGCCCAAAATTGCACAGCATATTCAAGAAAACAACTGTTACTTGGAAAAAGGGGGAGCTAGAGAGAGCAAAACAGCTCCTGTGAGTAGACTAACAACTTCACAGGCATACACAAACAGTAAGGTGACCTAAACAGCGCCATCTACAGCTCAAGTGCTATTCAAACAAATGGTACAGTGCATGACGTTGTACTTCCTAACAATAACTAACACCATGTTCTACTTTAAATGCAAAATATTCCACAATGGGACCTGTAAAAGGAACATAGCGGATGGTGGGAAAGATAAACACCATGAACCAACACATTCTGAGAAATTCATAAATTAGCTGACATTAATATTTGCTTAATGTTTCTGCCCAACAAAAAAATGTCAGCCTGGCATAATGATTTTGACGAGCTTGACTCAACACAGCACATATACAGAGTACTTTTTAAGAATGTGGAACCTGGGCTTAATATCTCAAGTTAATCAGTGTCTAATGATCTGCTTGCGCTATGCAGATTGGTGGTGGTTCTCTGGTGTCCCCAGATGTACAACACCAGGGTTCAAACCCAGGAAGGTAGGTCAGGAGCCTTAACTCAGGACACTCCAGCTGAAGACAGGATAGTTAGAAGGTATGCAGTCAAGATGACTATATCAACACTAAAGTGAAAATAAACCTTCTGATAAAAAAAATCTAAACAGGAATGTTCTGAAATCATAAACTTCAGACAAATTACAATAACTAAAAGATAAGTGTTGTAAAGCCATCTTGATGTATAAAATACACACACACACACACACACATTGGGCCACCACCAGAAATTACTAACTCAGCTCAGGGTCTGGGCCCCCTGGGCCCTGCCTCAAATCCCGCCCACAGGGTCCGCCTCCAAATCTCGCCCACAGGAATACACTCACAGACACAAACACACGCACTGATACAAACGGACACAGATACACACACACAGATACATACTAACAGACACACATACACGCATATAGGCATACATACTGACAGACAGAC